CGTCTTCTAATTTTACGATCTGTCGCGCGCGACGAGGGCAAACGCATCATCGCCGCGCGTGAAAGCGGGCTACCAAGTCTCCCGACTGAGCTGGCCGAGCTCGGAGGTTATTGGCACCGAGGCCACGGTCGCTGTCGTCGCGTCGCAGCAACCACCGCTGCTGCAGATGCTGTAGTTGTTGTAATTGCTGTTTCCGCTGTTGTTGTTGTTGTTGTTGTTGTTGCTGTTCCATTCTTTCGCCCGTCGGCGTACCAAAAGTACCTTCGACGGATCTCCACACCCGCGATTCGCCGACCCGATCCGCCGATTCTCGCCGTCGCCACCGATCGATTCCACCTCGCGGCCAGACACGATTCCCGCCTCCCGATGGCCATACAAAGAGATGGCCGCCCCTCTTTTCTTTTCTTTTCCTCTCTCGCTTTTTTATTCTCGCGACGCAGACACGTATTCGCGATATCGTATCCTTCGGAGGATAACCTTCTCTTTTCGCGACTACCTACGTAAACACAGATATACCGAGCGATCACAGAGAGAAATCACTTCCTCGCACTCGCACCAATAACAATCCCGCACATACAGAACACAAACTTATTTACCTCTTTGCCTCTTCTTCTGATCTTCTTTTCTTTTTATCGTAACGGATATCCGAATGTGGCCGAGTAAATCACTTTCCGATAAATCCTCTTCCCCATATTTCCCACATCCTTCAACTCAATCCGCTCTCACTCTCACTCACTCTTCTTTCTCTCTCTCTCTCTCTCTCTCTTTCTCCGTCGGAAACGCGCGCGCTTTTCGTCACCGGCACCGACGAGTCACGCGGGCCACCGTCGACGACGACATAACACCGTGCGAGTCGGTCGTCGATTAGAGATGTCGCGGCTCGACGCGACCGGGACAAGCCTCGACGGCCTCACCGTGCCGGACGGCGCGCATGAAAATCGAACCGGTTGTCGATGCGGGCGAGGAGGCCGCGCCTCGGCGGTTGCGTGGGACGTCGGCGTCGTCGCCGTCGTCGTCCCGTCGGCATCAATTCGGTGGCACGGCCACGAGGCGATGCTGCCGCTGTCCGCTGTGAATTTCTTTTCCTTCCCCACTGTCTCGTTCTCTCGCTCGCACGCGTGTATGGGCGCGTGCGCGCGCGCGCACTCGCCTTCTGTTCTCTCAGCTCCGAAAGCACAGACAAAGGGAACGCCGGTCGAATTCGTCGCTTCTGGCACACTGACTGGCCGATCGTCGTCGCTACTGCCGCTTCCTCTCGCTCTCTCTCGTCACCGCGCGCGGCGCTCTCCTTCCCTCTCCCTCCGGTCTATCCGACTCGCTCGATCCGTCGCTCTTCCCGTCCCCTCGCGCTCTCACGCCGCCACCATGTCTATTCTTTTTTTCTATCCCCTTCGAGCCCGACGTCGTCGATCCCGCGGAGAGACTACGATGATGACCACCACCATCACATCATCACCATCATCACCAACATCACCACTATTACTATTACTACTACTACTACTACCACCAATCACTGCGGGGTTGATATCCGGCACAAATACACGTACGCATGCACGCACGCACACTTAGTCCCGGCCGAAACGCGCAACGGTCCCCCTCGTGTTAATGCCCCGACGAATCAAGGCAGGGTGGGGAAACGGGGAGAGATCGCACGTCGTGAACGGATGGATCTTTACGGTTACGCGCGACAGCGCGACGCGCACGTCGCCGTCGTTGCTTCCGGCGACTCCTCCATCGCGTTCGAATCTTTCTGTTTACGACGCGGGTGCATACGCCGACGAACAGCGGTGTCGGGACGCGACTGTCTTCGTACCGCACACCGCACGCGTATCACCGCGATACGCACAGGTGTCGCGTGCGCGCGCGCGAGTGCGCGGGGAGCGTCCCCCTACCTTTTCAGCGCGTTTTTTTCTTCTCTTTCTCTCTTTCTTTCTATCACCGAGCTCCCGTTCTCCGTGCCGATCTTCGATGCCAAAGCGAGTCTCTCGCGGATTCCGTCCAGATTTGCGTTCACCCCGTGCGCTTTTGCCTCTACTCAAAAAAAAAAAAAAAACGCTTCTGTCTTATTTTCTAGCCCTCCCACCTTTCTCTCTCTTTCTCTCTGTCTCTCGCGCACGGTACACGCTATACCGTCTGTCCCCAGCACGTATTCCGCTCGGCGAACGCCGCGGAGCGCGTCGTTTCACATAGATGGCCGTTCGAGCGGCCGTTGCACGACTCGGCGCTCGGACGATACTCCGGCCATTCTTTGTCGGCTGTACCGAGCGACGACTCGCGGTTCCTCTGGCGATTCTCTGACGACGAGGACTCACAGCGATACCGTCGCCCGGCTCGCCGCGACATCACGGAACCGTCTCGAAGCGAATCCCCGCGTGCACACTTCGTGTTCCATGACGGCGTTCCGTTGACTTCGCGAGAGACGATGCGGACAGATTTGCCCACTGTCGCCGAGGACAGGAAACATCGTCCGACCGCCAGGGGACGACACTTATCAGCTTGGACTCCGTCAGCGATAACAATTATAGACTACGATATTTTTTTTATTAAACAATCTCCATAACGTGAAATAAAGTTGTATAGTAAAATTGTGTAGTTTCTAAAAGTTTGCTATATTTTTAATTTTTTTCGAATAATATAAAAAATAGAAAAACTGTCTACGTTTCTGGCCGCGTCAAAGTTCTTGCGATTGAAACGGTTATGTTTAAAGTCCATCCCGGATGATATGAAATAACTAGTCAGAGTGTTCTATTTATAATTATATATACAGTTGTATAAAAAGTAAAGTTAGGATACAGGAAGTAATAAATATACGTTAAAATACAAACTCACGGCAATAATTATCAGTAGAAACATATTAGATTTGAAAATAAAACTCCAATGCGAATTACGAATTGTTTAAAGTGAACTTTAAACATTAGGTCATTTCAAACATATATTTGCATCAAGGTGCATGTTTTCGCGAAAAAAATTTACTGCAGATTTTTGGAGTAAAGGTGTCGAGAGCTGCTTTGAATTTGAATTCTAATTCATATTCGATTCATATTACATTCAAATCAATTGAATGTGATTTTGTTAAAACTGAATACTGTTGTCCGGTCAATCCGGTTCGACGAAGTGGCTATTACTTCGCTTTTCTTATGCTATTCCACGTATTTGAGAGATACACGATAGATTCATATTTGAGAAAGAAGAGAGAGAGAGAGAGGGAGAAAAGAAAAGAGATGAGCGAACGCCGAGGATGCCGAGGACGCCGAGTGTACTTACTTCAACGGAAATGTACCATATGATTCTTAGGTGCATATGCGCATCTGGAAATTTGCGCAACCGATCAGGTGATTGCTTCAGCATACTCGTATCTAGATGAGAATAACTTGGGTAAATCCTTCGGGGCGCCTTTGATTTAATTTCGATTAATTTGACTGATGATTTAATCAGCGAGATTGTTAAAAATAAAATTTACTATGTAAGAGTAATTTGTTATGCTTAATCCAATCTTTCTTTCCATATGTTAAATTAATAATAATAAATAAAGAAATTAATAATTTTATATATATTAGAAATATAGTATATGTGTAATATTTTACTTGATAAATCAATCACCGATGAAATAGAGATTATATAGAGATTTGGTTACTTTTAATCTTTCATTGGCAACCTAATCCATCTTCTTTTTGAAAATTGAAAATTTTCAATTACTTCAAGATACAATTACATCGAGTATTATTTGAAATTTTAAATTTTCGAGTATTATTAAAAATTTTTCTATGCCTTGAAACTTGAAGTTATTGAAATTTTAAAAAACTTTGACAGCTTTAGAAAATCTTAACTTGGAAATGCTTGAATACGTGAAATGTTTAAAATCCTAAAAATAAAATTGCTATTTACGTAAAATAAAGAATGATTTAAAATAATAATGCAAGGTAATGAAAAAGAAACACGTTTTACTTAAAACTTGAAAAACTTGTAATTTCAAATAATATTCAAAACAATTAGAATTTTTTTTATATGTATATTCGTAATGGCAAAATTTTTCTTCATTATTCAAAATAATTTTACTTGATTCTGAGAATGATTATGATCAATCTCCAATTAGCTTAATATAGACGATTACTTTAATCAAAATATCAATTTTTGTTTATAAAATATATGAATTTCTAATTTTTCAAACTAAAGAGACGAATAAGTTAAACTAAGATTAAAATTAATCTACAATTTGTAGAAATAAATAATAATTGTTTAATTATATATTTATTTATTTTTGAGTATCTACTTATTTTTGAATATCTACTTGAGTATCTACTTATAATTCCCCAGCTCCAATCTTCTTTTTTGCATATTAGATAATAAGAAATTTGATTCAACAGAATATGATGTGTTATTTGATAGATTAATCAGCAATTGAGTTAGAATTGTGTCCATTCAACGCAGAAACATGAGAGATATTTCAGAAATATTTTATTAATGTGGAATTAAAACATCTCAGATACATTGCGAAATTTCTGCGACAGTTCTAAAATGCTCTGCGATAGCAAAATATCCGCAATTTTTGCACTTACAGAAAAATAACTGAGAGACTTTACAATCTTTTTGAACTATTGCTGAAAAAATATTAAAATAAATAAAACTTTTTAAAAATAATTTTAAATTATTTTAAAAATATTGGAACAATTGTTGTAGATCTTTATTATCTTATTTTTTATCAATCATCTTTCTGTAAGATTTAAACGCAAGAATCACGGACATTTTGCTATAATATTTTTAATTCCACCAGATAAAATACATTTCTGAGATATCCTTAAAATATTTCTACAGTTTGAATAACTTTCTTACTGCAAAAAAACACAATAATCACAACTTGCAAGTTCCCACATAAGAGATATGCAAATAATCATGACATATCTGTGTTTTGATATACAGCGATTTTAATTACATAATCAATAAATTTACACGCGAGAAATAGATGCCTTCCAGCAGTAATTTTGCAATTGCATATTTTCAAGTTGCATATAAAAAATTTCAGAAACTTTCTCGACGCAACATTCATATGACCGAATGATGAATCCTCTTAAAATATCACACATAAAATGTGAAAAGATGAAATGACTTTAAAAATTTTCTTGCAATACAATCGATGCTGTATAAATTTTCACCAATTTGTTTATTAATTTTAACTCCGATTGAATTTACCTTCATCTTCTTTTCTAATTTTTCGAACTAAAAAAGATAAAAGATGTTGAACCGAGATCAAAGTTGCAAGCTGACCCATATGTAATCCATATTGGCAGAATGGACATTAGAGAAAATCGCCCTTACTGCGCCATGTATGCACGAAATGCATACATGGTTGAGCGCCATGGGTTGCATACATTACGTCACGTCCGACTAACCCAATCTGACAGACTTCGTACGGCGTCGTTGTGTATGCTAGCGATTATTTTGACCCGAGACCGAGTCCACAGCTGATAGCGCGTCACGTACGTCGCAGTAGGTGATAGCACGTTGTAGCATCGCGAACATGAATTTAACGCCCAGGAGATCGTACAGGGAAAGACGTTCATTCGGTAAGTCGCTACGTTAATCGGTTATCGAAGACGATATCCTCGGTAGGAATAGCGCAGGGTAGGCGAGAAGAACAAAGGGCGAGAAAGAAAGGGGATTGCACCCTTCCGATCCGATTTCTTCGGAGTTGGAGAAGTCTAAGATCATGCGAGAGGTCTCACCTTTGCTTCGCACTCAATCTCAATCTGTTCCGAATGTCTGTACGAGCGTTCGAATAAATATTCGAGCGCGCGAGGACGCGCCCTTTGTTATTTCTTATTTTTTTTTTTTTTTTCTTTTCTAACCGTCCTGTATAACCGAAACCGATCGCGACGAGCGACTCTCGACAATCGCTCGATCCGTGACAGATAGCGCGAATGTGGAGAAACAAAGCGTATTGAAAACAAAGAGTGGGAGATACGAGGGAAAAGCGTTACAGCTACTGTGCACGTGAAAAAAAAAATATCAGTTTGTTCCTTCGTTGCGGACTTGATACGACTCGACGTCTTGATAATAGAATTCAATTAATTATATATATTTTATCTTGGATATTGTTCTTTTTGTCATACGAGATTTATAACTTTCTATTAAGTAATTATACGATTTTCTGTCGTTATTTTAACATAAAACATGAATTCCACATTGGTTCCAGATCACAAACGACACATTTCTTTCAGTGAGTAATATTAATAACATTAATAACGAAATCATTTATGATGAAATGAGAATTTTTGGCCTTGGTCTGATTCATGCTCAAAGCATTTTTGACGTCATTCTATCTTTATTATTCATTAGATGTAAAACAAGGCCTTTGTTAAGTCTATAATTATTTCTTGAAATTAATCAAGCTTCGGAATCACGAAAAATCACTTTTTTAAAAAATGAAATGGAATATGGAAAAGGAAAACATTATTAAATATAAAATGATTTTTTTATGTGTTTATTCAGAACAACGATCCTTTAGTGCTGAGGAAATTAGAAAACTACACCCGACTAAAATTCCCGTCATTGTGGAACGTTACAAGTTAGAAAATCAGCTGCCACTCTTAGACAAAAGTAAATATTTAGTACCAGATTTTCTAACTGTGGCAGAGTTCTGCAAAATAATCAGGTATGTTTTTCTAGATATATATAATGATTTTTTGTAGAATTTTATGAAATATAGTTGAATTAATACGTTGTTGTAAATAGACGTCGGCTACAGCTGAATCCGACACAAGCCATTTTCTTACTAGTGAACCAGAAGAGCATGGTGAGTGGTAGTTTAACCATGGCTGAAGTTTATCAAAGTGAAAAAGATCCAGATGGTTTTCTGTATGTTGTATTTGCTAGTCAAGATGTATTTGGAAACCATTAACTCGAGCAGGAATAATTTTAAACCAAGTGAGTAAGACAATGATAATTCAACCTGAATAGATAGACTAGATTAGAGATGATAATTAATGCGAAATTTATAGGTAAAAACGAAATACCTCCTCGGCACTTAATGATACTTTGATAGATGTTTACGTGGAATTTTGTGGGGATTCTAGATCTGCTAGCGATTTTATCTGCCTTTAATTGAGATGTGCAGAATCTTTGTGATCAACTGACGGTACCTGTTGGAATAATTAACAGAACAATCATAGAATTTGTTTTTTGAAATCTATACTATATAAAATCATTATGGTGCTTTCTATCCTATTGACAAACGGATAAATTACACTTGATATAAGTTAGTATAGCTATTTTAGTTTACTAGCGGTAAAAACAAATTCTATTAATAATTCTAGTGATGATAGGCCATACAAATGGTAATAAGGTAATATATCTATTGAACATGCTGCAGGTGTTTTTTCTAATAGATCAAAAATGAGATTGATAATTTTTATCTTTCATCTCAAGCTCATTTTTACTTAGTAAGATCATGATCTTGATAAGTTTTACATATGATATTTGTTCAATTGGATTAATCTCTTACAGATAATTTATGTAATAGGCCAGTTTTAATTTGTTTGCAATTTATATAAAATTTTTTATATCATATTTCATATATTTTTTAAATACAAAATTTTATCATTATACATTTAAATTGAAATCAAAATGTGTTTATCAGTTCAGCAGAGTTCTCTTTGTTAAATTCCATTGATATTTCTGACTAATGCACACTTTTTTATTATTAATTGTGTTGTATTCCTGAAATTATTCTTTTTGATAGCAAACATATGAATTTCACATGATGAAATTTTCTTTTGCTATCATAATATTTTTAAGTATTATATTTGCTATACAGTGTTAAGATATTGATAAAAGTGTTCATGTACATAACAATCTGCAATGTATGGTGATATGCGTTAAATTCTTGTAAAATTATATTAAGTTTTACACAAGATATAAAATTGATCTCTATTCAATACACGACAAAGATAATTAAATACAATACTGTTTTAACCAGCAAACTCATCAGGGCAATATTTTAAGGTAATCTGATATAGAATACATTCTTTCTGTAGAAAACTTGTGTGCAATAAGTCCACAAAACATATAAAATGCAAAAATTTAATGTTAACGGACGAGCAAGAAGATCAGAAAGGTGCCGAAGTTTCTAAAAGTTTTTAAATATCAGATAAAACATAGTTGCGCGTTTGTACATTGATATAATAGTCTCTCTGAGCTTTTTTTAAATTCTACTTTATACGAATGCCAATCCATATTGCGTCTATGTAATGTAATAGCCACGTTTATGTAAATATCTATTAATATGTCTTAACTTACATTGTACTCTATAATCAGATACAATTTTAAGCGTAAGAATATCTAATAATAGTCAAATTTTGTAATGCATTGATACGATATATTATTGTGGCGCTTTTATGCGAGTTGATTTTATTTTATAGATTCATTGGTACATGTATCGTAATTTTATGTATGTATCGTACATCACAATCATCGTACAACAAGAAGCAAGATACTTGCTGAATGGAATTCAGAAAATATCCCAATCGTTTTAATCGCACTTTCTTATGCTTTCTACGCTAAAATGTGTGAAATAGGTATATGTCCGAGTTATGGAGAGAGAAAATAGACAAGGAACAAAGTGTAAGAGGAATGCAATTAAAACGAATATACCTACAGTTTAAATTAAGGACAGTAGTGATCTAGCAATAGTCACATCACGTTTAGTGGTAACGCTTTCGTGATGAATGTTGAATGCGGAAAATTATATGTACCCCACACTACGCGACATGTTTGCAATAAATAATTTTTTTTCATATATCTTCATAATCCTCCATCGTAAAATACATCTTTGTAAAATATTTTATTAAAGTATCCTTCGTGAACAAAATAGTGCCTTTACAATAAAAGCAATTCTTTTGGAAATAAATTATACTTTTTAGTTACTATTCAAGTAAAAACTTTTGGACAACATTATAAATATACATGTATATTTATATCATTCTAAAGTTTACATGAAATTTTGTAAGCTGTTGCCAAACGTTTATTATATACAATTATTATTACATACAATTATTAATATATAATATATACAATTATATTATTATGTATATAATATATATTGTATATATTTATAAAATGAAGACGTTCATTAATTACTTTTGATCAATTTTGTTTCCGAAAATTGTATTTTTATCTAATTAAAAAAATTAAGATTATAATTATATATTCAGATATAATTATGTATTCACAATTTTCTTGAAATTTTGTTCTGAATGCTATCAAATTTTTAAAGAAATAGTCATATCTATAATTAAATTGTGGCTCTATTCTTAATTAGACAATTTATTTTTAGATTACAGTTACTTCTTGACTACCGAAACAAAGAAACATTTTCAGTATATCTTATAAATCTGTTTCATTAATTGTAAATGTTATTTTAGCGAAAAATATTTTTCTTCTATTTTAATATACTTTGCAAGAATTTTCATTTTATGTTTATTCACTTGTGATATAATTCGAGATGGCTGCAATCAGCAGAGCCTTAAAAAAATGTAATATTGTATATACTTGAACAGCATTCATTTCATAGAAATCGAGTTGGCGCGTAGAGGCAAGTCGATACGTTTCCCGCTTTAAGTTAAACATGACGTCACTGCCAACATGGCGTCTGATAGTTCACGCCGAGTCCGATCGCGGCGTGTTATCGCACGTCATCGAGGAAAATTATCAATCTACGTTCAACGCGTTACATATTCGATGGCACGGCGGAAAGACGCAAGATGTCGGGATGTACGCGTAGGAAGGTGGGAGGCGGCACGGTAGGAGGGGTGGGTGGATAGGAGGGCGAAAAGGTAAAGGTTAGAAGAGGTTATGAACTCTAACCCGCGGATACACAACGAAGCCTGGTAGCCAGTCCGCTGGTCCCAATCGCGCATCGGCACGGATCAGTCGTCGTTGCTGCTAGCCGCGGAGGTAAGTCGATGAGATTCTCTCTTTCTCGGTCTCTATCTCTCTCGCTCTCGAGGTTCGCTCCTCGTAGGAGTATAGTCGTGTCCGCATTCGTGTGCACGCCCCGCTGCGTCGGGAACTTCCTTCCGAGAAAGAGGCGCGCGCGTCCGCGATATTCGCGCGTACCGTCATCGCCGCCGTCATCATCGTCATGTCGACGACGACAATGTGATACGAAAGC